TGTGCCGGGGCTAGCCCACGCCTTTGGGGATTTACTCTTAGATGTTTTGTTGTCGAGTTTTGAATTTTACTTCCTGCCCTTACTTGAAATTCGATTATCAGAGTTTAAACTGCTAAATAGACCAATATAGACTCTAAATGTGTCCAACCCTGTGTGGTGTGGCGTCAGGCGGCAGATATAAGCTCATAATGACCGCGCAGACCAAGATGTGTAAGGTAGACAGACGTGTATATCTTTACCCGTTTCTTAAATTCCGAACATTGTATAGGAAAATTGTCAACATCAAGTAAATTTCCTATACATATTAAGGAAAATATGCTTACCAGACACGTATTGGAATTTTCCCATACATTTCTGGAGATTTGCCTATACACTTCGTACTCTTCCCATACGCTTCTTCCCAAATGGGAAAATTCCTATACATTTATAGGAATTTTCACTTCCGATACGATGTATAGGAAATTTCCTACACATGCGTATAGTAGAATTCCCAACATTTTTTACAGTGTGGGTGAAGTTCACACTGGAATAAAAAGGGAAACTTTATGTTTGCTGTCATCCGGCCCCGTTTTGTCACTGTCACCTTGTCACATTTTGTTCACATTCTTTTCGATTTTGCAAAATACACTGTTTGTGACTGGGGATGTACCTCACCAGAAGCCGGCAGCCTCATGTCACTTGTCCAATTGTAAACTTCGGCTCACGGAAGAAGAAGAATAGCCGGTAGAACATAGAGGTCCCTGATTGGTCGAGCACACGATACACTGGGATGACGCTGCTGGTGACCACGCGGTCGACACGCGGGTGACCCCTCGCTGCAGCGTTCGCGATCAGCCCGGGCCGTTGGCATGAGAGATTCACGTCGTCGACCTGTGCAGAGCGGCGGGCGGCGGGCGAAAGCCGGTCGAGGGGTCGTTGACAAGTTGTCCGCCCCCGCCCCGCCCCGCGGCGGCGCATCGCTCTGCCCGCTCAGCCGAGCCGGCGCGCAGTTCGACTTAACCTGTCTCGAGGGGCCGAGCCGAGCCGAGCCCAGGACCAGGACCCCGAGAGTAATGGAGTTGCGAATCCCTGCCGGCCGGGCCCGGTCAGCACCGCCCCGCCCTCCTGGCCCTCCTAATGAATGAATGGACCATTCCGGTAAACCGAAAAGAAAGAAGAAGAGACTGAAGAAGCAAAGCGTTCTATGAGAAATGTACGGTGCGCCTTGGGAACGCTCGAAAGTAATCCATCGTAAACAAGGTAGATGTACGCCAGACCACGTCTCGCGTAACAGGCTTCGCGATACCTCACGAAACACTGTTACGCTGCGACGCGCCTGACACGCTACCTGCGACGCTACCTTGGCCTGCGGCGCTGACACCTGAGTCAGGTAGTGCAAAAATGTGCACAAAGATACGGGCCTCCGGCCCGTCAACGCCCGTCACTTCGACTAATCATGCAGGGTTGTACATTTTTAGCCCGCTCTTTTGCTTAAAAGCTATATAAGCGGGCTTATGCCATCGCCTCTGTGTTCGTCTGTCTGTCTGTCTGTCTGTCTGTCCGTTTCCCAAGAAGGACGTGAGCTAGAGGTTTGAAATTTTCAAGGTATTATTGTTGTCAATTCTGGTCAACGAAACGGTTGGTGCAAATCCTGGCAACCACCCCTGAGTGGGTCTGAGGGGGTAACAAAGAAATAGGGGTTGGTCCAAGAAGTGGAAAAAAAATATTTTTTTTATGGTCTTCTAAGGGGTAGCTCGTGAAAATAGAGCCCTTTGGGTGAAAATTTCGTCCGTTTGACTCTATCTCTCACCGATTAGGCGCTAAAGCGAGTTTCTCTCACGAAAGTGGTCCAAAAATAAATATATAAATTTTAGAAAATATTTGATGGTCTCCTAAGGGGTAACTTGTGAAAGTAGAGCCCTTCGTGCTAAAAGTTTGTCCGTTTGGCTCTATCTCTCACCGTTTACGCGCTAGCGGGAGTTTTACCCACAAAAGTGGCT